ATAAATGTCAGCCCAAAGCGTATTTTCTACCGTAGCCGAGAGGCTGATTGATTTGAAAAAGAGTACGGTCTGATTGTGAGTTAAAAGTCCAAGTTGTATATCTCGTCCACAAATGACCTTTATGAGCTGAGGTACCCAGGTAAACTGGTACTCATATTTTACAGGAACTTATTTAGCTCTAATTTCTCGTAATGTGCTTAATCTGAGTCCAAAGGTAAAATTTTTTATCGTGACCTACAACAGTATGAAAATTCCTGCAACCTAAATGAAAGCTCTATCAGTGAAATTTATTGGAACTGCATCCAGAGTGCCCATGCGCCAACGCTGCTCCAGGGTCGTGCCAATGCTGGTTAGCGCAGTGCCCTATGTGGACGCACCGCGTATTGATCGATCGACCTTCGCCGGCACAGTTTCAGCACGGTGCTAGCACGGCACTAGTGCCAGCAGCTCTAGACGCACTCTAAGGCCTCCAGGAGCAGGAAGAATTGCATAAAAATTGCATTTGCATTTGCTGTAACACTCTTACGTTTTCTCTTATCATCGATGGATCGATGATTCCCCTTATCAACCCTAATACCCATGCCAGTTGACGTCACGCTGAGGGGGCGGGCTATGTCTGCCATGTGTCTCCCTGTGAGGTCACTGGCACTCACGATCTGACTTTGACCACCGCAGGTCACGATTCGCACATTCTCGCATACCGTACTCTAATAAACACTGAACCACCATCTATTTCTCTTATTCACCGTATACCATCACATTCCGACCCCAACATCGGTCGAAGAGTCTCCACCGCGTACAGCTTGGTGCATCGGCCGGGAATCGAACCCGGGCCGCCCGCGTGGCAGGCGAGCATTCTACCACTGAACCACCTTCAAGGGATACAATATCCCACACTGCACAACCGGGATAGCCACTTCACCGGAAGGTGCGTACGCTATCCCGATCCCGTTTCGAAAACTTCGCAAGCAACGAAACTAGGACTGTGCCTTCAATGCCTGAAGCCAGTCCATGACGACGTCTGCGCAGTAAAGTGCAGTAGTTGTGGTCTCGGCCACAACTACTTGCTTTGCTCGCAGAACAGAGGACAGCAACATCACAGAGGACCAGCCACGAAACGACCACATCGCCACTGAAGACCGACGACATCAACGACCAGCCGCAAATGGCACGCATTCCACCCCACGCCACAAGCCGAACGATCTCAATCATCTTCACCAACGCACCTACGACATCAATTGAGACCAGTAGATTTCGCACATTATATGCCATTCTATCATATTCGTTTGTATCTATTTTATCCTTGTCGGGCGGAGTATCATCGATGGATCGATGATTCCCCTTATCAACCCTAATACCCATGCCAGTTGACGTCACGCTGAGGGGGCGGGCTATGTCTGCCATGTGTCTCCCTGTGAGGTCACTGGCACTCACGATCTGACTTTGACCACCGCAGGTCACGATTCGCACATTCTCGCATACCGTACTCTAATAAACACTGAACCACCATCTATTTCTCTTATTCACCGTATACCATCACATTCCGACCCCAACATCGGTCGAAGAGTCTCCACCGCGTACAGCTTGCCAGAAATGTATTGGCTGACGTACGTTGACGTAGCCTTAGGCGTAGTTGTCGCCTTGGTAGGAATATCTGCAGGTGTGGACAATACACTAGCCTGGCAGATTTATTGAGTCAGACGACTTGTCCGCATTGGGACAGTGGTAGAATGCTGAGGATAACAGGCGGAGCAAAGTAACTTGGCATGCATCTGAGCAATAAACACACTCATATCACAGCAGGTCATGCTTATGGCATGACCTTTACGGTGCTCTGGCGAAAGAGTGATAGGCTACAAAGAGAGGTGCCGATTACATCGGCACACTGCGGCCGGCCATGTATGAAGCAGAAGAGGGAAGAAGAAGAGGACATGATAAAAACACATCAGATAATCTACTCCATTTCGCACTTTCTTCTTTTTGTCTGGATAGAGCAGTGGTCGTTGTTGAGTGGCGCGTACAGTAACTGTCTTGAGATCCGCGAAGTGTGAGCGGACGTGGCGACGACAGAAGGCAGATGGTTGGAATAACCAGATGATGAAATTTTTGTGATTATTATACTCAACACAATAGGATGATAAGGAATTGGGCTTAGAGATAACGTCAATGTGCACAGCAGTCTTGTATGTAAACGGAGCGGGAATTTGCTCATCATTGGAGAAGGCTGTATTTGCTTCTTCTGTTACTTGAAGTGCCATGACCTGCAGAGATGCCACAGCGTGGACGAGAAAGGTTGCGTCCGTGGATTGATCATCGTTGCCATCGACTATCTGCAGCTCGGTTTTTGGTGATTCTTCCGTTTTCACTTTCGCACAGCTGAGGCCACCCTCATCGATAATTGGGATGTCCGTTGTAGCACATTTCTGTTCTGTTCCGTCGTAAGCAGGTGAGCTATCTGTGGCAGAGAATTTCCTAGCGGATAAGGACACGTTACAATTATCTTCTTTGGTGTCTGGTTCCAAAAAATGCTCGTCTCTGTTGATACTGAACGATTTTTTACGTTCCAGTCTGGACAGTTCTATCTTTGCCTTTGACTCACATTCTTCTAGTGTGTAAATAAACATTTCGGCATCATTAGTGATTTGACTTATCTCTCTGTTGAGCGAATCCAAATCTTCTGTCATCCGCTGCCTCGTAATTCTGCACTTCTCGCTTTTGTACAGTTTCTTGAGCAACTCGGTCTTCGATCGTGCCAGTTGTGAGCCCAGGATGATGTCGAAGATGCACTTTGGTAGTACGTGCAGTTTGTCGACGCAAACTTTTCGTCGCTCCTGTTCATCGTCTGGAAATAATGTTTTCTCACCATAGCTCGCGTACTTTCGTAGTAGTTCCGCGAGTCTTTTGGCGTGTATTCTCACATCCTCCATATGGTGATGTAAAGCCGGAATTGCTCCATTGTGGCTTCTATCTTGTCCTTGGAAGCGGAGCATGGTATCGGTCTTGTTTAGCCGATGCACCAGAAATGTTAGGCTGACGTACGCTGACGTAGCCTTAGGCGTAGTTGTCGCCTTGGTAGGAATATCTGCAGGTGTGGACAATACACTAGCCTGGCAGATTTATTGAGTCAGACGACTTGTCCGCATTGGGACAGTGGTAGAATGCTGACGATTAAAGGCGTGGCAAAGTAACATAACAAACATCTGAGCAATAAACACACTCATATCACAGCAGGTCATGCTTATGGCATGACCTTTACGGTGCTCTGGCGAAAGAGTGATAGGCTACAAAGAGAGGTGCCGATTACATCGGCACATGCGGAGAAGAAGAATGATGTTCAACGGAGCCTTGAAGCGCTTTACTGTAGCAATCTGTCAAAGCTACTTTTCTTACTTTTACAGTCAAATTATGACTACTTAGCGCATGAACATCGAACGAAGCCGATCGGCGAGCGATCGCTGTCATTTAACGACTCGGAACCGTGGCAAAGAGTCAGTTCTTAATGGCGCCGTCGTCGAGGCGCGGCTATCGTCGGCGGCCGCCGGGGTGATCATGCGGAGGTTGGGGGGCTTTCGTTCGGTTGTGATGTGATCGATAGTCGAGTTGGCATCCGACTGCCAGCTTGAACTCGATGAACGTCGTCCGATTCCAGCTTTCATCTCAGCCAAGCCTCTCGCCTCTATCGACGCTGTCACTGCCGATATGTCGCCCGCATTTTGCAACTGTGATCTGTGCTTTTCTCTCAACTTTTGCAGCAAAAAAACTTCTCTGCAGTTTTCTGCAAGCTAACTGCCCATCACCGAAGCAGAAAACTACTTGTCACTCAACTCTGCCATCCACTATCAGCGCCTATCCTGCAAGTCTTCTTCAAATCTCAGTTCTCAGCCTGTTACGTCAGTGTAGGCGTATGAGAAATGACGATAGTGCAAAGTTGTATATCTCCCACATTTTGCGATTTTCTCTACGACTCCACACCGTCTCACAACGTTTAGCGCTGACGATATTTTTAGTGCAGTGTATCTCACTCCCGTGTTCTTCTTGAAAAACCAAAACTGCGTTCACCAAAAATCTTCATGCAAATTTTTAAGTCTTCCTGAGCGATTCAGCATTGATACAATAAAGCTCCTAATTCTCATGTATTTTTCATGACACCATTCCAATTTAATCTACACTTCTTACTTCATTAAGCAGCGATTTTTTTTGCAGTTCTTGTCGCCAATTCTCGTTCATGAATTAATTTATCATCCCTTTCTTGAGATACAACGAAATGTGCGGCCTCAGTTTTCGTCTATACATTTTGTTTCATCTCTTCTCATTTAGCCCCTCCTATTCATCTACCACATTTTTTACAAAGGTTTCCAATAACTCTATAGCTCTCCTCAACCGAAATCTGTTCTCCATTACAAATATATGCACCTGTTGCTGTTCAACTTCTCGCTGATCACTCAAGCTCTGAATTTAACACAATTTACACCGTTGTCGCCTAGCTTTGACCCCTCCCCCGTCATGCTATAACCTAAACATTGAGAAAACTCTACCTAAAATCGCATAACGAAACACACTGGACTAACTGTAGCGACTTTATGGCAGACTTTATGAAATTACGAGTCTTTCCGATACGCATGTAATCACTTTGAGAACTAGCGCAATGGCCTGAAAAACATCTCTACGATGTCTTCGACGTAGAATCACTCTTCATAGTGCTTCGAACTGATTTTCAATGAATGTACCTCTCAAAAGTTATTTTAACAATGAATTTTTGGGGATTTCCCATAACTCTCTACTCAAATTTGAGCTCAAATTTTTTATTCTTAATGCGTTAGAGGGCTGCTCTTTATGAGAGCTGTTTGTGGCCAAATACTCCCTAAAATAAAAGGACATGAATGATATCATTTCCTGCTGTTCCCGTATATCGATGATATACATCTTTGTCGAAAAAAGGAATTCTTCTTCCGTTTTTTGAACCACACAAACAAATATTGTTTGCACAAACAAGCACTTACCTTATTATTATTGACTAAAGTCATGCTACCTGGGTGAGATGAGTACTTTGTGAAGATTTCAGCAAGCAATTGCCGCATCTAAAACACAAGTTTGTAAACAAAATACCTCCTGACATTTTACAAGTGTACTCAACATCTAGATACAGCTCAGTACTTTTGCTTCCGTTCCTCTACCGCTGACCTCAGCAGTTTAGCACTCAAATCAAAGCGTTGAGGCATGAATCCGAGTGAACAAATCTGTCGCATTCTACGATACAAATCTTTTACATTATCCCAAAACTCTGTGGTATAATTCTTTCTTTTTCTAAAACTCTGCGTTACAAATCTTTTTTAATATTTCCACATATTTGAGTTTGACGTCTGCAATGCAAGCTGTTTGTCACACATCAAGTATAAGTCTGAGAAGATCGCTTGTTGCTTACTACAATCTCAAATTATCCACTAACAAGTCATAAAAATTTCGTACGACGACCGTTAGTTGGTACTTATTGCTGGTCACTTTCTCACCAACTTTTAGCGCAAAGATGTCAAAAAAATTTGTTATTCAATTCTTCCGGGAGACTTGGCTCAATCCTCATACGCTAATTTATGTTGTTTGAAGCTCTGTTCTTTCAATATCGAATAAAATGTGTTTTTATACTACATAAATCTGAGTGGATAAATGATTGCTTAGACGGCTCTGACTGCAGGGACTATGTACAGCTTTATTTCTTCATTTGCGATAGTTCCTTCCTCATTTTGTTCTTCCTAATGCTACAATCAAAGCTTTGTAAAAGTCATTGCGAAAAAAATAAATCAGTATTTTGAAGCTGTATAGTTTTCAAAATCAATGTTTTGCCATACCTAACAAGATACTACTTCAACAGCAACGACTAGGAAGCTCCCATTTGGAAAATTTACGATTCAGTTGTATACACTAGCATTACACTTTGTACTCAGACATGTGTACTAGCAATTTATTCAACTCATTAAGCATAGATGACTCATTTGCGATTGACAGCGTACATAAATAACTGGATAATTGAGATTGTGCAGTTGCACTTAATATCGATATTCAGTACTCAATTTATAAATCAGTTGTTATCCTGCAGAGATCATTGTCTCCTCACTACCTTAGTCCAAAACTTTATGCAAAAAAAGGATGGGATGATGCACCTTAACTTGATAGATGAACTTATTGGGGTTGTGGCTTCCGTCTCCACCCTAGATTTAGATGCAGATTCAGAGCGCATAGGTGGGAAATTTCTAGAAATTCCAACCTCTGTTTTTGGGTGATACTCAAAAATCAAAGCCATTCAAAAGCTAAAGAATCCCTTGATGCTACTACGAGATGAAGGTCTGATTTTTACATACTCTTGAAATCATGTTAATTTAGTATTGTTGACAGTAAGAAAGGCTAACGCCAGGCATCTTCATTTGATAAAATTTTTTGTCCTCCCCCCCCCCCCCTCTCCCTTCCCCGAACGAAAATCCTGGTACCGCCACGTGAAACGTAATCCGTGCCAGGACTCTGTACGAGGCACCAGGGAAATTAAAAAACAAAGTCAACTTCGATCTTGAAAGTTTCGTACCAAGTCCCTTTGACCCTAAACTCTAAACGTAAAAAAAACTTCAAAAATGAAACAATGACAAAAAGATTCCCTTTGTTTTGTCTCAAAAACGATATCCAGCTTGCCTTGGTCCAGCTGTGCCGAGCCCTAATCCATGCACATTAATTTCAAAGTGAAAATTTTCCTATGTAGAGAACGACGTAGTCTGTCATTTTCGTTTGTGTTATGTACCTTCTTATACACTGTATATATCGGGTGTCCTTAGAAGTGTATCGAACATTAGCACGCTGATAACTGCCACGTACTGTCTCTGAATAGCACTTGCGAAATTTTGATTAGCACATTCTAGAGCTGGTTTTGACTTCGATTTATCGTACAGAATGAATTCTCTTCAGAAAGTAGGATTGGGAAGAAACTTCCAGCACAATGTCTTCAATGCAAATCTGTTGCCATTCAGAAAATATCCGAAAATTCAAAACATTTCGGTGTAATGTCTGGACGGTGATTCGGTAAATAACTTGGTCATGTAGAACAGCGGTCAAGATGACATAATGAGATTTTTTTTGTTAATTACTTATGTTTGAATTTTTAAATTGTATGCATTGCAACAAAAAACTCATATGTGGGATAATCTATGTTTACCGACCTGTTCAGGAAATTTTCAATTTGCTCGGGCAATTTTTTATATCGAGGCTATATACTCTCATTAATGCAGAAATCCTTCAAATTACCGTAATCCTACACTAATGAAGAGGATTCGGTGATCTGTCTTCTATTGCAAATCTATTTAAAAAGGAAGAAAGATAGGAAAGATAGTTTCTCCATCTTTTTCCTTGCACTTTTGTACTTTAAAAGTTAGAGCCAACAGTTTAGCATAGTTATAGAATTCGCTGAAAGCTGTTGACATGTGATACATATTTGGGACACCCTTCATATTGTACTTCATCTAGCATAGTGAAAAATTCATGTGGTTAGGTTTGGTTCCTCAACTTATCAAAAGGTATGGAAAATCTTCATAAATAAGCAAGAAGGATTTCTATTGACCACTAACCACAACAAAACCTACATGTCTTCTCGTACATACTCATACTAATGTTCTAGAAACTTCGGAGGAATTCCATCAAGTACTTGCACTTACTTTCTGGCAGAAAACCGTTCAACCAAAAACTAAAGCATTGCCATCAGAATCCGCGCATTACTACGAAATAACGATCGAAACCAGCCTTTCGAAACTGGAACTGACCGATTAACAGCTTGATTTGCATATTACGGTTTGAAACGTCGTAAGCACATCGTTACAAAGCGGATCCCAAAAGCAATCAAGACGAATCGCGAAAAAGCTGCGAAAATCGTGTTGCTTCATCGAACGACACCTGACCGACTGTTCGTCGGCAATGTTTGCGGAGCTTTCGCTCACATCAGGATCTTGTCCTCCATCATTTTTCATTTTACCACTTAGTATCCCACCCCTTTTTGACAGATAATTGAGGATTTGATGAATTATCTCCGTGCAGCTGTGAGACAAATTGGATATAGTTTCATCACGAAAAAGTGGATTTTTTAGCTTTCAGCTTTCCTAAATTAATGTTGCAATAAACTGTTGTCCAGATCCAATCGTCATTCCTAGAGATCTGTCAAGTACTTATCATAAGATATCTTCACTACAATAAGGATAGATATTGAAGACCTCCAATATTGCTTACCAAGATCAACTTTATTAACCGCTGCAGAACCATTTCTAAATTTTTTTAACATCTAGTATACAGAAAAACATTCAAAGATGACAAGCAGTCTCGAATGACACGAAAGCAGAGCTGCCATGGGAATAAGCGGCGGGTGAAAACATAAAGAAAACAACAACCACATTTTTTAACTTCAAGTACTAACCAAGAAGCTTGAAACAACGCTCATTTAATTGTTTTGTTTTTATAAATAACCGTTGTAGCCTTTTTGAGTCATTTCCAATGCTCTCGTACCTCAGTGATAAGCTCACGAAAGGGAAATCATCCTCCCTTTTCTTTAAGAGTTGTGCTATGTTACACCTAAATTATTCTCCTGAATTTGTACCGCAAAATTCATTGCAAGATAAAAGAAATTCCATTAGAGCGAAGCCGCTCAGCAACAATTTTTTTTTCATTCTGGAATTGAATTTCACTTGAAGGCTCTATTTCCAGTTCAATTTCTCTTATCGTGCAAACTTTAACATCCCAACGTCTTACAAATGTCTTACAAAGTTTCGAAGAGTGCGGCTGAACTTATCCCGAATTTTTTTCGTAAAATGTATGAGAACATTTTTCAAAATCGTCAGGATCTTGATTTAGCGAGCAAAATCTGGACCAACTAAAGCTGGAAAGCCCATAGAGAAAAAGTTTTTGTGTAGAGTGCAAAATTACGGTCACACGGTATTTAAGGGGCGAAACAGAACGTTTGACTTGTGAAGCAAATTTTAGCTACCACTATTGACGTTTCATACTGCTCCTGCGGTGTCGACAACATTTGCGCATGAACAAACAGTCATGATGGTTATGCAGACAATATGCGCATGTAAACTGGCCCTAGAGCGCACTTTTACAAGTTTTGCTACACTTGACATGTGTTCACGCGCAAATGTTGTCGCCACCGCAAGGCCATGTGAACCATCAGATCGATTAGTCTATAAATTTATCTGTCTACGCTATGCTCGATGACGTCATCGTAGATCAAGCGTGATCAATCAATTTGGGTATAGTAGTCGAGTTTCGTGTACGTTACACAGTGTGCGCGCCTTCGTCAGTACGTGAGCGAGTGGCGGCAGGAGCTGAGACCGACTTGCCTCCGGCGGCTTTCGCCCCGATGTGTTTTGCTGCCGAGCCGACAACTGACACTTTTGGTGGCGGCGAAAGCCCCGCTGACCAGCTATTGCGTAACTCCAGCATTTGATAGCTTGTATACTTATCTAGGCAAGCAAAAGACATCTCCTCAAGGCGCGATCCAGTATGGCTGCTGCGATCCAAAGTTAATTTCTTCGCTGCTCTTCAAGCTACTCTCACTTCACAGTATCATAAAATGATAGAAAAAAGTGTTTTTTACTCTGGAACTTATTGGAATTTCCATCCTCTTTTCCCTTCTCTCATATGTCTCTGGATGCAATGTGACATATTCACCCTAAACGGAACGTATCCACCGTAAGTGCAAGTGGAACGCCACCTCAAAGCAAAACGTTTTCTTTTCGGTCAAGTTCAGTATTTTCCGCTCTTTTTTTTTGATTCAGAAGTTTAGAAAAAAACATAGTATCATCTCGACTTCATTGTATGGTTACACTTTCTTCAGTGTAATTTCAGCTAAAGTCCTTTCTTGTCTAAAAATCTGTTGTGTCCTTAGCGACTACCTTGAATAAAAGTTTTTGTTCCGAATTCTTTCCTGTCATTGAAGGCACCATTCACCACTGCGGATACTTCCTATCTATCAAATCTCATTCAGAGCCTTATCTTTTGTCTAAAAAAATTGGGTACTTTTCCGTTATCCGGACCCATTTTTTCAAAAGGCTCTCATAGTATACGATGTAGCTAAAGACCAATTTCTCACAGATCCCGCAAGGACTGCCTCCCTTCCACTTGTAAGGAAAATATTGGCATGTTTTGGTTCATTTTGACGGTTTTTTTGGAATCATTTCCGCTGAGGCAGAAGAGCATTTCTGATCACCTAGAAGCTGTTCAGCTGTTCTTGAACTTATGTAAGAACATCTTAATCGTTCTCAGCAATGACTCAGCATTGTCCTTCTCTCCAAGCTTTTCACCATGCAAATTTAGCCAAACTAGACTCTAATTGATGACTTGAAGTTCCTCGTTGCTGTTTGTTTGTCACTTAGATGATGGACCCTAGCCCACTTCTTTATTCTGGGAAAGTCTAATCTGTTCATTAATAACAGAAAGACGTTATTGTGATAACAATTTTCCATTTTGACACTGTTCAATCGAAAATGGGACTACTATTGATCAAAAAACAGATTGAACTTACATCGTTAGATAGGGGAACTCAAACCCTTGGTTGAACTTGTTAAACATGTAAATGACATGTCAGATTTCTTTGACACGTGGCAGGAAGGTTGACACTCCTCCCTGTAAAGTTGGGACCAAATATGGTGCCAGGAAAGAAGCAATATCCGTCTTTGAAAAAATGGGTCCAGATAACGGAAAAGTACCAAAAATTGTTGTGGCCCCAGCGACGACTACCTTGAAAAAAATTTTTGTTCTGAATTCCTTCCTGTCATTGAAGGCACCGTATTATAGTAAGCCCCGCGCTTATATACGATATTGGTGAAATTTTGATGAGTACGAAACTTGATCTCCAATCAAGTTATTGCCCAGTTTCGCTGCAAAAGATGTATTCCGAAAAATGCTGTTGGGGTCGCCACGCCCAATGGGTCTAAAGGTAATAGCCCCGAATATAAACTCTCTAGTATCTAGAAATGTCGAGAATCCGCCTCTCGTTGTAAAAAAAAGCATATTTTTGACGGTTAGGTATTCTAGAGTCCGGTTTCGGGCTCATCACTTATAGACCACTCACATGAATGAGCGTGGCTATCCTAGCAGCATCCACTTTCCTCAACAATTTCTCCTCCTCGGAAAACTCTCCTCAGCGGAACTTGGATAATTACTAGGTTAGTGGTCTCGCTATTGTACTGCGCCATCACCAACCTATTTGGGTGGCCTTTGAAATTAATCGGTAATTAAAAATAATTATAAAAGCCGTACTTCATTTGAAATTGCTTAGCGACGACAGGAAAAGCTGTTGTCTAAATCAAAGCGATTGGCAGAAATCTTGCAAATAGATAGAAATTTTACACTGCTTTTTTGCTCCTAGTATATAAAAAAATAACCTAAGTATCACTCTGCTTCAAAATCTGACTCACTGTGCAACTGTTCAAGGAAATCAAAGCCTACTGCATAGTACATCGTGACTGTCGTTCTGACTCATTCTTCAAGAAATCGCAATCGTTGTACTAACGTCAGTTATTGTGGCTTTTTCACTAAAGAGTAATTGATATCTGTCACTTCATTGTGGTGTGTTCAAAAGACAAATGGTAATTCCCGTTGCAAAATAATGTAGTGGAAAGCGCTGTCATTCTTCAAACAAGGTTAAAAATTTGCACAAAATTATTGCTTCGTAGCAGATGGAATTATTTTGAATCTTGATTGCTTGAGTGTAGCTTGAGATAGTGAAAAAAGGCTGCATTCAGAGTTGCCCGCGAGCCAGCGCCGTGCCAACACCACGAGGAACTCGCCCCATATTGATTGATCGATGGCGCTGGCACAACTCTGAATGCAGCCAATTGTGAAAATAACCATATTTCACTGTAGAAACATTCTGCAACGTTTTCGCTTTTTTTACTCCGCGTTTGCCTCCGAACTAAACAAGCGGAAGTTCTCCCAGATTTTTTTCATTCTTCCTGTGAAAACTCAACAAATAAAAGTTTTCTGCTAACGCTTGTCACTTCACTTGAACTATTGCCTCTCAGACCACGAGTTAGCTGCAATCGATTCGTACTGATATTCTTAGCAGCTGTTTGTTTTCACTGATATAGCCAGCTCTCTGCAGATTTTTGCTGTCATGCATTCTCATTGCCAAGAAAACATGCTTGCATCTGACTGACTGTTATAAGGCAGCTGTTCTAGGGGGGGGGGAGGTAGACTGCCATGACAGTTTATAGGAGTTATACTAGGGTAAAAGTTGCTAACCCATCTTGTGAATCACCTGCTGGAGAACTGACCAGCGCTTTGCCAAAAAACTTTGATTCCGAGTCATTATCTTTTCGGACAATCACTGAATGAAAGCGATGTCTTTGATCGATTTCTCTTTCCTCTAGCTCCTCCAATAAATAATAATTATAAGAAAGATGAGTTCTTTTTCTGCCGAACAGGTGCTGCTTATGCGTCGATAAAGTGCTGAGAGCATATAGTGTTTGGCAAGTATTCACGTTCTTGAACAAACACCGGACAATCACAACCATTATGTGAATTTTCAGACATAAAGTTTTTCGATATTCTTCACTTAAAAATTATTCGCATTATATGCAAACGCTCTTCCCTTAGCTGGCTATTGAGACTGATAAGCAATCATCCAAGGAGTTGACTTAATTAGAATCTAAAAATTGAAGCAAAGACAAGCTTTGAACCTTTTTGAGGGGGCGTTTCGTCAGAATCAAGACTCGGTTTTTTTTGTTCCCAAGATGCAGCGAAAAAGAGCATAGTACAACTCATAGATCCGTATTTTATTATTTCCCATTGCTCGTCTAAATAAAAAATCTTCCCGAATACAAAAATATATTTTACGAAAAGGGCTCGGCACAGGTGGCTTACAAAGCAAGCTGAATATCTTTATGTGGCCGAAAAGACAGAAAATTTGCGATGTTTTTTGGTCCGTTTCGTATTTTGGAAATTTTTCAGGATTATGGTTTAGGGTCAAAGGGGACTTCGTAAAATTTTGGGAAAGTCAAGGGGGACTTCGTTTTTTTTTTTGCATTTTCGGAAAGCCAATTCGTGCCGAGTCCTGTTTCATGAAAAGTAACGCATTTAATTCTTGAAAGATCCACAGGTTGGAAACACAGAAGAAAAGATATTTTTCAGTTTTCATTAGTGGTGGTGAATGCAAACATAGGGAATACTGGAGACTTTTTTGTAATTGCAAAAACCCTAAGATGTGTTAATCAAACTGAAATTTAACTCTCAACCTTTTAAGCATTTGGTTGCATTATCTTAAAATGTCAGGGCGTTCTGTTCGTCCTTGTTAAATGATTCCATCATTCAGCATTCAATCTTGACGTTTTAAATTGAAAGGATGGTGTATGGGGATAGTACACTACCCTTATAAGCCATCATTTCCACATTTCGCCTTAGATCGATACAATTTAGAAACGTCATTGAGGGATTTTTTTCTGCAAAGATTCTCGCACAAAATTAGGCGCAGTCATTGACTTTAAGACCTTGAGACTGCATCTACTCTTCCAGAAATTGTTGCTCTGCCATTCGTTGGCGATTTTCCTCAAATTCACAACCTTTTTTCATCTCTGATCCACTTGATCGACTGTTTATACCTGCGAAGAGGAGCCAAGCACAGCTTCTCCACTTCTCGACCACATCGTACTCGACGGTTTTTTGGCGAACTCGTGTCGTTGCAGAGCCTCAGCCACACTTGATGTTCCACCCAGTCTCGCGCGTTCGGCAGTGTATCCAGTGAAATCTTCAGCTTAGACTATGAGCTCTGGACACTACCACAGGTAACTTCACACTTATGGTTTCTGTCATATTTTCCATTACTTTTCTTCCCTTCTTGCTCATACTTTTTTAGAAAAGGGAAAATACTTCGGGAAGCATGACGTATACAACACGTTGACACATTGCTTTTTTGCTTTTTTCTAATGCTGAGAAAATCAATCGAAGAACATTTTCTTCTCAAGCTGGGCAAAAATTTTTTCACTTTGCGAAGTTATATAAAAAACCAACGAGTTTTCAAGTTTTCTCTCCTTTCTGACCTCTAATATGTACCTCCCCACAAACTTCTGGATCTTTTACCCTGCACAAAGAAGCCAATAAACATAACTTCCTCCGCTATGCTTTTATTGCTATTGTAAATCCTACTCCCGTGGATACCACGCTGAAACCAAGAGGAAACTTCTTGGTCATTTTTGAAGAAACAGCATAAAGCATTTTACGAGAAGCTCTTCTCTTTTGAGAGACCTACATGGCTACAACTTCATTACTATTGTGGCCGTAAATCATATGGGCTTGTGAAATGGGTGTGAAACACAAATACTCAATTTAGCGCAGATCACACGAACAGATTGTGAAACTCTAGCTCTTCAATTTTGAGAATATCCTTAGCATAAGTCATTAGTCGTCGATAAATTTATAGCGCATTAAAAACTGAAAAGCCACTTTTTTCGCACCTGCGTAATACACGGTGTCCCAAAAAAAATATGCCCACTGTTTGTTAACTCTCTCTTCACGAAATCTTTCGGGAAGGATTAGGTACCATTATGTAGGACTGGCATTAACTTAGATTTACAGTATGGAACAAATTACCGATCTCCCTTCATTACTGTAACATTACGGTAGGAACTGCAGCATATGGCTTCACCGTGAGACAGGCCGTTCGATAAAAATTTTCAAAAAATTCTGAATATTTGTATAACAAGGTTTTCGTGCGTGCTGATTTCACTACATATATTTTCGCGTGTTCTCAAAGCTTTTTGAATGGACTAATCAGATTTTTGACAAATATCAGAAATCTGTCGTTACGTTATATCTGGCGTGGATTATGAAAAAACATTACAGTGAAGTGCGAGCCTTACATTTGGAGTCAGAGACTATGATTATCCTAGTGTAAGAGTTTCCATCTTTAGTCCTTTTTTAGAGGTAAAATATGACCCTTAATGACGCAAAACCCTCTTCGAAGTCCCTACCGTAATCCTATAGTAATAAAGAGGTAACGGTAATTTGCTCCCTACCGTAAATCTAGGTTAAAGCCAGCTCTACAAAATGGTACCTAAAGCTTCTTGAAAGACTCAATGACAAGAGGGTTATTAACAATCAAACAGTAGGCACATTTTTTGGGACACTTGTATAAAGAATGCTAACAAAAATGACAATAATACTTTGAAGCGTTCACTTATTTACTTCCTGTTACTCGATCTCTTCTTTGCTTATAACGGGTGATGGAATTCAAGATTCTTTCCATTCAGATCAAAATAAGAATATGGAAGTGTCGTGTAATGTCAAAAAATAATGATTGCTTCCTCCAAATTATTAAAAGTGACAATTAGAATGCGACTAAACCAAGAGATTACTTGGACCATCTCAAGATTTCTGACTAATATTAACCGCTAAGTGAAATTATCATTTTGAAGAATGACAAAATTATGAACAACATTTTTCGTAAACCCTAATCTCGCAACATATTTTGGTCATTATATTAGGTCGTTCCATAAGTTCGTAGCGTTTTTACAAACCGACAAAATTATCAGTTTACAGCAAAAATCAATCAGAATTATATTCCTCGTTAGCGCACGACCTTTTGGCACATTCTTGTTAGCTTCTCGATCTCAATTTTTTAAGGGCAGCGCGCCGGGTCCTAAGAAAGTCATCTAACCAGCGCTCAAACTACTTACTGAAATCGAGACATGCACCATTTATGATGCTTGCTAGAGAGCGGAACAAATGGTAATCTGATAGAGCGAGATTTGGGGACTACTTTGGGTACTGAAGTGCCTTCCAGTCAAATCGTGCAGGACATTTTTGACGACGTTTGCCGTCCGGTCTAGACGATGCAGTTGGATTGCTTACGGTATGGTTGACCGTCGCCAAACTTGCAATTTTCAATGCAGGTCGTCCTGCCCGTCCCCTGAAAAGTCTTGTTCAGGGACATCCTGCTCAACCCCTGATCTTTTGTAGCAATCCAATTTTTTTGCCTCAAGTTGATATGCGAGCGCTATGTTCCATAATCGATAGAAAAATCACGCACCCTATTGAATCAACCTCTCCTCAAAGATATGAGGACGAAAATGAAAACGCTACGAGCTTATGGAACGACCTAATATATTCTGACGCAAATGTCTTCAATGTCTTATCATATTGTCCTGCTATTCTGCTAGTCACGGATTTGCTTTCTGCAGTTTTGCGGGATCAAAGGTTCAACTTGCAGAAAATTGTTCCGCAATGTCTACAAAACTCATATCAGCACTCTAATCTCATTTTGTTGATCATCTCATTGCTGTGCAGGTCATCGAATATTTCTCCTTGTTAGCAGAGCAATCTTTACCATTTCATATAAATCTTAAGATTTCTGCTCTATGTCACACATCCAAAGTTGCTCGCAATTCGCTTGATCGATTTTACTTGACTATTTTTGATCCATAAAATATCATGCGGCGGAAGGAATGGCTTTAAACTTAGCTTTTGTTGAAAGGATCGCTTGAGCTTGAACCTCTAAATTCTTGCTGTAAAATGATGATGCTAAAAGAGAACGGAAAAACTCTGAATGTTGTGATAAAATTGGGTGTAAAATAGGCGTTTGAATATAAGCAGACTTTCTGCTGATGGTATCTCGATTTGTGTTCAGTATGGCAGAGAAGGTGAAGTTCAAGAGCCATTACCAGAAATAAACACGCAAAATTCTAGGTCAAAATCCTATATAATATTTTATCTCCTCGATAAATGACAGAAAAAATTTTCTGCTATCTTACGAGCAAGCCTATAAGCAGAATCCACAAATCCTTCGCTTATCTTGTGAAAGTTGAGGTCAAACGAATGATAATCAAAAGCTCCCAAGCATTTTTCGTATTATTTACAGAAAATAAATTTTGAGAACGAATATTCGTGTCATTTCGCATATAGTCTGCATGCACATTGTTACTATTCTGTGATCACTTCGTGCTAGTCTACTTCTTCGAAAGAGAGTATCGTATTACGGCATGTGAGACACGCAGCTGTGAAGAAAAGCATAGTCAGTGATCAATCTTGAGATTAACTCTGCTGTGCACCTTTCAAGAAAAAAGACACGGAAGATCCACTTCGTCTTTACAAACCGAGCATTGGCCAGGTAAAAATCATGGATGGCTCGATAAATTCCGTCAGGGCTTGCGAACGGCTGTCGAGCTGTGTGGCACTATGGCAGCCAGCAGCCGACGTTCTGAGTCACGTCGTTCTGGGCTGCCGGGGTGCGAAAGATAATATCCCCCATCGCATTCTTATCCTCATGCATGCTCCTGCGACATGTGCCAGGGGCATATGGCTTCTATAGCGAATCATGTCCCAATTCTGAGGTGATTTTCTGGCACGGGGAATCGTGGGGGGGGGGGAGGGGCACGCTCAATATTCAGGCAGGAGTTCCCATTTTTACCATACTGAACTTTCTCTTTTTTAAGAAGATGGTCAGCGAACACTGCGGGAAGAACAACGCCAACTTCACAAACCCTCGCGAGTACGGTCGAGCCGAGCACATATGGGACAAGGTGAGCCAGAAGCATAAAAGCTGATATATTAAATCACGATTTTTGTACCAATGTAAAAAAAATCTACTTTAGAATGCTGAGATAACCGTTTTGATCTGTATATTATTGTTTTGGTGTACGTAATTCATGCAGTCCTTATATCCGCATTCAGGATTCTATTTGAAAGAAAATGAAAACTCGAAAAAGGGAAATCTATCACAACTTTGCATGAAAACAACCAATCACCACAAATTCTAGTTAAAAATGATGGGTCACGAGACCTAAAGGCAGCGCCCAGGCAGGTCTGGACCTATGGGGATTTTACTTGGAAATCAATTTTGGGGCCTACTAAGGCACTGCCCAAGCGGCAGCGCAGGTGACTCACTAACGGCTGAGATACAGGATCATATTCGCATGGATTCATGGCGCAACCCATCAGTTTCGCGCGAGGACCCACTCGAAATTGATGTTGCGCCATGAATCCAAGCGAAATTCGATCCTGGGGATCCAGTAGTTGGGCAATGGCTTAGTTAGGGCCCCCATCACTATTCACGTGAGATCCCCATATCAGATCTGCCTGGACGCTGCCTTTAAGCCAAAAGTAAGATCGGACGTTGTTGGAACCTTCAGCCTTTTTAGGGGCGAAGTTCCTAGGAGATACAATGTCTGTTTGTCTCTTTATCTGACTATATCCTGCGATATGAAAGCGTTGATTTTTTTTTATTCAAACACTGTGCTAAATTCATTGATAGGAGAATTTTGAAAATTTCGATTTGCAAGATTTCAATAGTTTGCACTATGAAAAATTTCAAAATTTTTGCTTTTAGTTGGAACTCAGTACGCTGGAATAAGCCTTCAACTACGGGTTATCGAAGCCACTCAGCAGCGATCGCGTCGCGATTTGAGCCGAAACCGAAGCCTTTCTACACACCCTCCTCTACAACCTCCTCGGCTACACCTCGCACCACAACCACATCGCGATACTCAAATGCAAACAGTGAAGCCGCCAAGATCGCAGCTCAGGTGGCAAGGTACGAAAAGGCTCTTTCTACTTTTAAAAAGTTCCTGTCCATATCTGAATACATTCCAGTCTCGGCCCATCAGTAACCACGCGGGCATCGCGATTCGACACCACCACTCGCGACAGTGCGAGCAAATATCGCAGCGAAGCGCGCGATATCATCAACAAATGGACGAGCCGAGAAAGGAATAGTGGTGAGATTATCAATGTATTTGCTTGTGATGCTGTGCTCAGAAAAATAAGGGTTTCTCGCACGAAAAATCAGTAACGAACTTGCAGATGCACTAGTTCGCATCTTTGTTGATAAGCAAGATCCTTCAGTTCCAAATTTGTTAAACGCATGATTTATTCCCATTAATACCATTGCACAAACATATTAGGTGGGTCCGAAAGTTTTGTCAGTTTTTTCAATCCATCAACACGCTAGAATGAAGATAAACAATCGCTCTAAAATGCATCCAATGCAGAATTTCTTCCTCTTTCCAGCAGCTAAACTCCCATTGTGTTTCGTTGCGAGAGTAACGAGATATTCGCTGGAAATTACAACCACTCGTTTTTACCATGTCCAGCTTTCGCTAATTTTCAAAACTTTTGTATGAGACATTCGGAGAAGCCCTAATAACTAGCGCCAAGTTATGCAATTTTTTTTCTTTCTTTCAGCTGCTTTGTCAGATTTTTGCTAAATAATTTTCTAAAAGTCTTGTGTTTTGAAAAATCGCATAACCTGTTATTGCACCAAACACAGAAAAATTTACAGAAAACTGAGGTTTCAACACACGCTTACTACTACTGCTACCATTACGAAGTAAATGAGCGATTTTCGCTTCAAATTATGAAGATTTTGAAACATAGGTTACGTCAGTGCGCATTCCTGAAATTGAGAAATACTGCGATTTTTTCCACAAATTTCGCCTGTCTCGGCAAAAAAAGACAAGTGTTAGAAAGAGAAGAAAAATTTGCATCGAATGGTGACTGAACAGTTTAACATTTTGTGTTCTACGAGGTTAAAATTAAAATAAGCCGAATGTAAAATTTGGCCACTTCAAAAATGAATCTTAGAAATTCTGAAAGACAAGCCGTAGGGCTTGTCTTTCAGAATTTCTAAGATTCATTTTTGAAAAAAAATTGCATCTGTTGGCAAAAGGTTTGCTCTATCTGCTAGCTATTAGGGCTCCTCCGAAAGTCTCATACAAAAGTTTTGAAAATTAGCGAAAGCTGGACATGGTAAAAACGAGTGGTTGTAATTTCCAGCAAATATCTCGTTACTCTCACAACGAAACACAATGGGAGTTTAGCTGCTGGAAAAAGGAGGAAATTCTGCATTGGATACTTTTTAAAGCGTTTGTTTATCTTCATTCCAGCGTGTTTGCCGATGGATTGAAGAAACTAACAAAACTTTCGGACCCACCTAATAGAGCACCACACTATAATTTATCTCATCCAATTTTCTCATGAGGTGGCGCAAAACGATTTGTCCGAGTTCTGTATTGCCCACCGATTTGACAGCTCTTCGTCATTACAATCGCGACTTTTGCAATGATTTATAGCAGTCATGTTTTCATCCTACACAAGATAGTCGAAAGGTCGTGTATTGGTAATAACAGCTGTGGTTTTCTGTTATTTTTGTTTTGAATAAGTTCAGTGCATATGTGCCTTGGTTCATGAAAATGTATGCAAAAATCCCATTTTGGGAAATGATTCAATTTAATTGATAGGTGCTTTTCGGACGTAGGTAGTGGGTAATTGCTGCTAAATGGGTGTGGCATGGGCAGTCAAACGATCAGTCTTACCTAGAATATGTAGAAAATAGAAAAAGATCTGTTGCATGATGCAGAGTTGCTCTACCATCCAAGCAGTGGCACTATATTCGACAATCCTCATCCAAAAAACTGCAGAAGACAAATCTTTCAAACTTTTACAATTGCCGAGCATTTTTTGAATCTACATATCCGAAAGTGTAAATGTGGTAAAAAAAGTCGGGCTGTTAGCCGAAAACACATCGCTCAAGAAAGGGGCAGTGGCAAAAAATTTTGAAAGTAAGAACTTATGGAACGACATGTTTTGCAGTATGCATACTTCAGTATCAATTAGCGCTTCACCGCAGTGTATCTCAGAATTCTGTGATGCATGCTTGATAGGTTTTCAGTTTTTTCTGCAGTTTTTTAGTTTTACAATAAGCGACAACCATAGTATGGATTCTATAACTGTAGTCTAGTGTACTGTTCGTGCTCAGACAATCTCCGGAATACGCGCGCTGCTGACTGTGCAGCCCGCTTACAAAAGTGTGGAAACCGTCCAAGGTTTTTAAGAGGCCGTTTGTTGATTTCTGTGTCTCTCTGATTCTTCCAAATAGATTGCTGCTGGACAACGCAAGAACTCAGCAAGCGGTCTCTTAGCCGCTTAAATGAGAGGAGGTGCCAGAATACAGTCATCTGTAATAACTTCCATGTTCCATGTTCTTTGAACCTTGGCATTGTTATACTTATCAGTCTGTTGTGCCACACAAAGTTTGTTATGTTGGTAGCCTTATTCGATCGGCCTTACGTTTCAACGGGTTCGAATAAAGCTACCACCATAACGAACCTTATATGGCACAACAAAATTGAAAAGGTACAACAGTTATCTGTTTTTCCGGCTACCCGCCTACCCCCGGTGATCATCTGAGTAGGGCGATTGGTTGGATCTTGCTAGATTATGCACCCAATGGTTCTCTTGATAAATCAACAGCTTGAACAGCTTGCTAAGGGATCATTCAAATTTGCCCATGTGCCAGCGCTGTGACAATGCCGTGCTACCACCGTACCGGAACCCAATAGACGCTCTTGGTATTATCCAATGAGCGTATCGGTATTGTGCTAGCACGGTGCCGAAATGGCGCTGGGTAGTAAGCCTGGATGCAGTTTAAAGAGCAACGCACATCTTCTATGCCGTTTTGAAACAAGTTAGACCCCTTGTGATGTACTACAACGCGCCACGCGTAATCGCGCTGCGTACGTGCGATTGCAAATCATGCACGGACTAACACAGTTTTTGTTCTTAATAGTTCTTGCAATAGTATTTCGATCTAGTCTAGTCTTAGTATAAAGCTCGATAATTTCAGATCAAGATTTCTCTAGAGTTCTGCGAATCCCAGCGAAGCCTACAAGTATGCTTAATTAATGCAAAATCACAAGTTGATCATATAATCAACATGCTTCAGGTTACTACTCATTGCACTTCACGTCGCGAAAGCTGTTTGGTCAGACTTTGTTAAATTACGTAGTAATAGCAAATAGTTAACATTAGTACTAATATAATCTCCGCGCTAGCCAGAACACCTAAAATTTAACCTTCTACAGTTACTTATATAATCAGTGTTTACACACAGACTTCCCTCACTGTATAGGCAGGAGAAATTGCATGATCTAAAACATGTTTTAATTTCTTACCACATCTTCACTGTCCATTGAACATCGTGAAAATTTGACCGAGAATCATCCTCTTCGCAATTTTGAGCTTCATTTTAGGTGACAATTCTTTCTTGTCAAGACCTTCGGAGAATGTTGCCGCTAATGGATACTTGAATAAACCGAGCGAGTATCGTGAGTAATATTGCCTTCTCTACACTTTTACTAGCAAAATAGTTTCTGAGAAAATTTCTTTTTCAATCATAGTAAATCTTTATCTTTACGTCCGCTATTCTAGACTATCGCAAATCGTCATCGGTAACACCAACACGGTCAAATGCATCGACAGTGTCACGATATTCCGATAAGACCAGCATACTCTCTCCGTCACCAACTCCAACATCACAACCACAGTAAGATATCTAATGGCTATTCAGAGGTGAAGGAGACGATAGAGTAACATTATGTCTTTTCTCATAGGTTTTACCGCGATCTCTTGAACTTGTTGTGCTAGCAATTTTGGCTCATTTGTGCTTTATATAGAAAGAAATGCAAAGGAAAAATAGGATATATATGTATGCATACAGAGAAATTTGTTAGGGGAGGGGGGGGGGGGCGGGGCAGGAAATGTATTCCGAATGAAGGGGTGGTGCTAACATCCGAAAAGATTTTTGGGACGCTTTCCATTCTTTGATGAGCTTAGCCTACATACCTAAAATTACTGAGAAAAAGAGTTGTGACAAGCTAATTTGAATCTCCACAGTTCTAAAAAGAATATACAAATCGCTCGCAAGTAGAAACAGGTAGATTGCACAGTTTTATTACGACTCATTTTGGTAACTTTTGAAAGTTTCGCGACCTATTCTCAGAGGAAGGCGCTTACCCTCTCAATTCGCTCTTGGTGTACACTGTGGTAAAACTTTGATGAGACTACGGTACGCGTTTCTGTTGCACTACCGCTCAAATAGTATCAAAAAATCTGCAGCGGATCTTACTGCAGGGTTAGCAAGTAGCGGCAATTGTCCAGTTCATAAAGTCGCATCCCCAAATGAAAGTTCCTAGATCATAGAGTGCAAAGTCAAGGCCTTTTGTGTAACCACACAATTATGAATTTTCGAGGAATTTTATGTCAACAATCTTTCATTTATCCTCATTAAATTGTTTGGTTGTCTACTTTTATGGTTTAGAGGTGTTCTTAATCATCCGTCATTGAGTCCTACTTGGTCAAGAACTGGTTTCACTCAATTTTGAAAAGTGGTGCAATCGCACCAAACGCCTTGCCAAGTGAAAACGGCTATATCTGCCTAAGCGACATTAATTCGGATTGAAGTAGAAGACTGATGCTTTTTTTTGTAGAAAGTTTTCTCCAGTTAAACTCCAGCTATTTCAGGATCGCTGATCCCAATACCGCCAATTTCAGCGTACCTCGGGCCGAACGTCCATGGCGCCAACGACTCGCCGAGTCGTCGCGGATCCGTGCGTCGCTGGGCGACGACGTGAGTGCTTCCTACGCGGCGGTGCGAAATGCGTACGCGCGTGCGCGCGCGTCGTCGCGACGCAGTTCGCTGTCGCAGACGAGTGGCGACGAACTGTCGCATTCTGTCGATCGACTACGAAGCTACATTAGCGCTAGTGGGGTGCGTAGTGTGTAACCAACCGCTTTACAGTGCTTTTTTGGTTTTTCTTCTCATATGGGGCCGTATTCAAAGCTTTCAAGCCCAAATAATTACTTTTATTATAATCATACATAGCGTAAATTGCGCCTATGGATACAGCCTTGTGGTGTATTTGCACGATTGTTGGTGGTCCCTCAACGCCATTTATGTCATGACTCCCCTTTGTGTAAGTTCGGTTTGGTATGACTAAACAGCTTAGCACGATTTTACTAGCTTCAGCATTAGCAGTAGCTTTACCACGGCTTTTTTGCTTTCGCATTGCCTTCCGCTTGTCATTTTTGCAACGAACAGGCTCGAGGTGGTGATTTTCTGATTGACTTCCAGCCATTCTTCTCTCGTAGGTTCCATCCATCTCGAGCTTGTCTTGCATTGAGTAACAAAGCTTATGACCAGTTCCTCATTGGATAAGGATCAAATTTCCAGTACCGATCTCGTCTTGGCTCTACAGATAGCACAGCTAGTGCACCAAGAGCACGAACATCCTATACTCCATCATTCGCTATAAATTATGCTAAGCCACAAACGGACACTCATCCGAAACATCTGATGTCCAGGTAAGTGGAATTTTTTGCCACTTTTCAGTTATTACCAGTGCCTTCACCTGTTGCGATGTAATTTGCCGAATGATTTACAAATTTAGAAGCTATTCGCCCATCCGACCTCGAGACGAGATCTACAAATCTCTTACAGCTGTAGAAAAACCGCCACTTTCAAAAGCTAGGACTCCTGATCGGCTGAGTTCAAGGTAATCTTCGGATATCGATAATGAGTTGTCCCAAAAATAAACCCTTTTTTTAGATTAAAAAAACATTTGTTTTTCAACTCACTTACTCTGTTCGATAAAGCAAAGCGAGATCTACGAAATGACCAATAGAAGTTCATTCAAGTCCCAGATCATGTAGAGTTTGAAGCCAAAAAGGAAAAAAATTGTAAAAGACCTAATTTTCGCTAAAATAAATCTTACGTAGTCCTCGTACAGTAGATTCGATATTAGGTTGACTGATAAGTAAGTTCGTTTTGACATGTAAATTCAAAATAATAATGCATTATGAGAAGATAGCTTCAAGCCTTCGCTCTCATCAAGTAGTCAAGAATTTTTATCGCCAAAAAATGACAGTTATGCTCTATGGCCAGACTTCTGAACAATCTTTTTCGATCTCTAAGTTCCGTTCTCAGCCTCTTGTGAGAGGGGAGTAATTTAGTGGTTGGATACATGCAACCTCTGGCTAGATGGCCAACCAAAGTGAAGATAATGTCATGGGGTTTGTGAATTTCTGCAGCCAAAAGTGTAAAAATTTCCATCATTCGCGGGTGGAAGTCAAATTTTGTGCAATCCATATCCTCGAATTGACCAGATATACGACCTTGCAAATGGCTGGAAATTTTTATAATTTGTTGTGTGTGTACCGAATCTACATTTAACACCTGACTTCATTTTCGGAGCATGATTTTTCGAATGAGGAAAAAATTTGACCAATCTTCTTGCCTGCACCATTCCGCTATCAGAAAAACTACTTTGAGAAAACCGAGTTAACCATCCGCTTCTCGTTGAATTGCTCTTTTTAGTATCATACATCCGCACAAAAACTGATATGTGACATTTCTACAAACCGCTAAAACGACCAGACTTATTATTTTTAGCCAATAGTAATTATAAGTGTATTCGCTAATTTTTTTCACGCAATTGAGAGTAGTATAGTTCGTAAATGACAGAAATTATATGCTATTGGCACCGTCCCAGCTCTTCTCACATGAGTGACGTACTGTAAGCCTTAGTAAGTACAGTCTGCTCCAATCGGGATCAGCCCGAACCGTCGGCGTAAATTTGCGCGCTCGCAGCGCTAGCGCTGCATGTGCGCGCTATCGGAGAGAGCAAAAAGATTGAAGAGAGGGCAGAGAGGCAGGCCATGGGCGTGACCGCGAAACCCTAGCGGCGCGGTCTCCCGCCATGCCAATTTTCGCCTGGTTGGGATTGGGGCAGACTGTATAATCTTAAGTTCATATCATTCATTCTAACTAGGAGACGTTCCAAAGAGTGAACGAACCTGGACGAGATAAGTAACAAGTATAAACCTGGTAAGTATATAGTTAGGCCTGTTTAGACATTGCATTGCACGCATTGTCTAAACAGGCCTAATCATATATTTATCAGGTTTATATTTGTTACTTATCTCGTCCAGGTTCGTTCACTCTTTGGAAACAGGATATAACAAACTCAAACCTGTTAAAACAATGTCCGCAAAGCGGTCTCGCGTCTTGTAGTCATAGAATAGATGATACCTCTGGATGGGGTGTAGGGCGATTCGACCGTAATGCTTTCCGCACAGTACCACCGCCGCGCGCGAAACACGCTGCGACGGCTTTTGCCTAAGCAAAGCAGGGGGAGGCAATATTTGCGGCGTGCGACATGTTAAGACAAGTCAAAATCAGAGCAGCGCTGGAGACCGCTCGTGCGAAAAGATCGTCTTCCCTCTGGATGTGCCCCGGTAAAGGAGAAATACCAAATCTAATGAAAAACAAAGACTGACATTTTTACATTCTCGGGCTATAATTGTTTCTAAATTTTGGGCGCAAAAAGAATCCAGCAAATGTTTTTGTGAATAATATGATAATCAAGTTCAAGGTCTGTACGAATCTTCTGTAAGAGATCCGATTTTTGGAGTAGTTAAAAAAATTGGGTCCAAACTTTACCGGATTTCCATTTAGGTGGAGCTTTCGTAGTTATTTCAAAGAGCTTCTTGCTTTACCAAATAGAACCCGAAGTTTGCTAGGAAAACAAAACATTTTGTTTTATCCAAAAAAGGAGTTTGCCTCTGCCACTTTTCAATAACAACATTTTTCTTTAAAGAAAACCATTCCAGTCAAGAATCATTGCGGGAAGAGAGAAAACTACATGCAGGAGTTTCGACAGCTCCTAAGAATCCCTCGATCCGCGAAAGTAGTCTGGAACGCGAAGCAGAACGGCCGAAAAAGCGATCCAGTAAGGAGCGAAGTGAGCACTGTGGATATGAAGAGAAGCTGTGCTTTCGATGCAGAAACGAAGATCTCCGAAGGGGAAAAACGTTGTTTCCCGGTCGTTTCTGCAGAAAGAGCACAGTAAACTTTGTGAACACACGTCTCCGTGTCATACACTTTACAAAAACGGGACGATTTTGTTGAATTAAGCCGCTCGACGAAGCTCTCGACAACAGGCTTACAATCAGAGTTCAACGAGCGAAGAGGAGATCGATCGATCACTCAACAGGGCTGATGCGAAACGACGACGACGACGAAGGAAGGAGTCGTCAGAAAGGGGTATGTGGGGTTTAGATAGCACAAAAATTGCCTTGAATTCTAAAAGACTTGCTGAAAATTTTTGAAAGGAAAAATCATAGTAGTCGGATGTGATTGCGCGGCTTCCGTAATTAATAAAGAAACTTTGCAAATCAAAGCTTTTACAACTGCTATCAATTTATTGATTTTATCGATTTTTTGCAACTTTCAATTCCGAGGCTAGAAGTGGGCACGGAAGAATTTCGATTATATGATCGATTTTATTTTTCGCAAACTGTGATCTACAAATGGTATCTTTTTTTCTGCAAAAAAATACTTTTGTTACTAACTTATCAAAACTTGAGTGAGTGAAGTGGAGAACAAATATTTGAGCAAAGGTCATTCTGAGAATATTCAAACTCCAAAAGCTATCCAAATTCTCACTTTCTCTCAATTTTATATTTGTGCTCTCTCATCTCATAAAAAGCTCTTTCTTGGAGATATTGACTATATTCTTATAGATAACAGGAAATACCGCCTACGACTAATAAAAAATCTTTGCAGAAAAATAGGCAATTCATCTTGTTGTGCTGGACGAAAACGACAATTGTGCTGTTCAAAGCCGTGTTGTTCTCTTCGTTCATTCACATTTTAAGAACATGGCCAATTTTTGTTGATTTTTTCGCATTAAACTCCTACGAATTTATTTATAAGCACTTGTTTAAACTTCATAAAAGAAATTATTTTAAGATTTTAGGTTCAAACCGCCCTGTAAATACTGCTTTGCTTTTTTGAATATGATACATGCCTGATCGATGCTCTAGTTCATTATGTATATTTTTCTGTCTGTCACCATTTACGAAAAAATGAACTGGAGTGTAGACGCGATCATTTCTGGTTGTTTTTTTTCGTTTCCATTCTTCGAAAAGCACTCGATAGCGCGGCCACTCTCTTACACACTGCTTACCTGCTACTACACATTCACACTATACACCCTCCTTATTCATAAGGTTCTAAATACAAGTATAAATCATTTTGAAGGCAAAAAACAGGAATTTTGTTAGAATCGTTTGTAAATTTGTTAATTCAGGAGTTGCATTTCCTGGCAACTCGGCACCCAATGGAATGGTGAGGACGTTCTTTGTTTTTAATAGTTCCTGGCATTACATAGTTCGCAAATTTTCTAGCCGAAATCGCCAGATACATCGTTGCGGCTTGCAAGGCAAGACGATGTGAAAATTAGCCCAGCACGGTAAATCCTCCTTAAATTTACATTTATATATTTTAGAGTATATCAGTGTTATGTTAAGGACACAACCTAAAACAAATGCCATCAGTCCACCGCCAGTTGGTAAGTAGCCAAATTTAATTTTTCCGAAATATAGAGACACAAGGTGAAACAAATTAGCATAGGTTTCCAAAGATTCAATAAGAATTTTATAATCTGTAATTCTTGGACTGATAATATCATCAACTGAAAGAAACTAGGTAGTTACATGAAGAGGAAAATTCTCTTTGATACTCTAAAAAAATCAAGATTTACTCATTCAGAAAAAACGCATAAACTACAAAATCATGAGCAAATTATGGAATGTAAAAAAATGGCTCAAAGTTTAGAGGATTGGGGGACTGTTTGTTATCTTTATTCTTCTAGTAAGTCCACCGAAGGTAACTCCCATCAAACTTATGCAAGAATCCACGACGCCAAAGGCTGGCTCTGTTGAGGTACCCAAGAAACCTCTAGCAGCAAAAGATGCAAGTGAGTCCAGTTTCTATGTTATTTCTGCTTGAATTTTAACAAGCACCTTCAAGAAGTAAAAAAATTCCTTATAGAAGGCGTCATAGTTATTGAAGTTGGTGGTCCTCTGAAGAGCGATGATCCGAAACGTTCAGTAAAGGACGCGAGTTCATCGTCTACAGCTGTTGAATCCTCAACTACAGCACGTCCGCAAAAGGTTCTCAAATGGACTTTCTCCTCAGTTCACACTATTTTTTATTGGAATAGAAAGAAAAGTAGCTCTAACACCTTTCGTTTTGGGATCATATAAATTAGTATTACTTACACTAATCACTTTTCTTCACTTCAACGATTTCAGGAAATTATCTAGAACTTTAACTTAGTCTAGATAGCACAATATAGTTTCATCTTATTTGGTCTTCTTTTTTCTGTTGATGTCCTTTCTTTAGTTCAGTGCTCGCATGTTTTTAACACCATTGCTTATTTCAGCTTAACGATAGCCACACATTAGACGAATTCGTAGAAATAGACAGCGATGAGGTGGGTAGTGATGATAGCTGAATCAATTCGAAGAAAGAGGCTTTTTAGTCGTTGTAACAGTTGTTGCTTCAGCTAATTTGTCAAGCAATTGTCAAGCATTTATTTTTCCTGAGAAGGTCTCATTTTCAGTTTACCACTGATGCATCAAGTATTCCGGAAGATGAAAGCCAATATAGTGCAGTGGTTCTTTTCAAACCAAATAAGGTGAGTTTGCATGGTAAATTTCGGTACATTTTAGGCGAATACATATCTCAAGTTTAATTTTCCCCAATATTTGTGGGTCCAACCACTGACTAAGAAAAAACAACAAGTGACGCAGCTTTCGAGGGAACAGTCGCCTCCACGGCCTTACAGCACGTTCACATGCCAAATTTTCTCCCCGTCAAGCTGTTCGGACAGCTCGTCACAGACCCTTGAAAGCTATCCCCGTTCTGCGTCAATGCGACCATTTATTGCTTTTCTTTAAGTGACTATTATCGTGACTGTACGAGAGAATCTGCTGCACGTTAGTCTCTCCCTGGCAAAATTGTTGGAAGTCGTGAGAATAGGGAATGATGATCCAGTTCCTATTCTCCTTTTTCTACCAAACAGAGGTACTGCGATTCTCGACGGCTTTGTAATCTATTGGGCTATCTTTTGCACCGAAATGGATAAAAAAGCGTTATCATATCTCTAAATATTTGGGAAATGCTTCAATCTATTATGCAGAGAAAGAAGTCGAGATCTCAAGAAAATTTTCAAAAGTCACAAATATTTGCAAAAGCATTCATTCACGTATCTACATAAGGGAAGGATACTTGGTCGAAGTGGCGTTCTCATAGAAATGTATAATAATATAATATAATATCTTACTCAGACAATTGCACCGGAAAGTTCGCGGCCTCAAAGCGGTTACTTGGCGCGCCGCGGCCCTTGAAAATTCAGCCCCGCACGCCGCGGCCCATATATATTTTATCGGGAACGCCGCGGCCAAAGTTGAAATTGGGAAGAGACTACCGGGAGGGTCGCGGCCTAACCAACTCACTCGTAGGGCCGCGGGTCTTATCAAAGGCCGCACTTCTTACACGCTGTAGGTTAAGGCGCAACCCGCGTGAGGTACGCCGCAGCGTTGGGGCTACCCTAAGTGTTTATGGGGCTGGCTATCGCTCTTGGATGTGGTCTTATCTGACAGAGTTGAGCTTGAAAAACAAACTTCAGCAGTCGGATGAGTGTTGTCGACGACACTAGATGATGTCGACAGATGAGCTAACAAATTGCTCAATCTGCACTCTAGTCGTCATCGTGAAAGACAGACTAAGTAATTCTTCAGTTTTCCTAGGACTTACAAGCATGGTAGTCGGGTCAACTGTAGGCGCTTAACGGGCACTTACGGGATGCGCCGCGGTCACTTATCGGGTCTAAGATAAGGTTTACCGGGCAGCTCGCGGCATGGATGATTGGTGGTCGAGCAAGCACCCGCGAACTTCCCGATGCAATTGTCTGAGTTATATGCATATAACGCTGATTCCAAATCTGCTTTCCTTATCTGCAAAGCGCTTCTGGGAGGGGAGTTATGGAATTTTATGCAGATCGAAAGCGCGGCCACAATAAAATCATTCAGAACTTTAATCCGCGAGCTCAATGGGGCCGTAATATTACCAGGGCCTTTATGCAACAATTACCTTCAATCTAATAAACTCATATCAGTCATTATGCATTCCAAGAAAGATCTCAGCACTTATTTTTACCCTCGCCAAATATTGAATTTTTATCTCAGTTTTCCAGAACTCCCCACCCACAAACGCTTTGCAAATAAGGAAAGCAGATTTGGAATCAGCGTTTTATGCTCTATAAGACAGTATACATTTTATATGGAAACGCCACGTCGAGCAAGTAGTATCCTTCCCTTGTCAGTCAAAAGGATAGCTCGTGAAACCACATTCACAACGTGATCTGCAATAGCGATTTTTGTTATAACCCTTGTTATTTATCATACATGGTTTTCTATTGCTAGCTATGATGAATCCCACAATTCGCTGCGACCAGAGTTTTATGTTCTATCCAGAAATATTGTGCAAGAAAATTATGGACCAACCAGTTCGGATAACCGCTAAAAAATACTTTTTTCTGATTAAATCATACTTAAAATTTATATTTGCTAAATCTATGAAACTGTTCAACTTCCCGACTTGCAAACACCTATTTCCTACCAAAGAGTAAGAACTCGCGGCATGCTAGTTTTTTGTTAAAGTATTTTACTCGCTTGAAGCCAAAACAAGTGAATGCGAACATCTTTCCATCTCACTCTTAAATGTAGAGAAATGATATTTTTTGAATTTTCTCAAAGTGAAGTGAGCTGCTGTTTTGAAGGCATCGTCCATTCAAATTCTCGGTTTCCATGTTTTTGTCGTTCCGGTGCCTTTCATGTCCCTGATTCCGTATATCAAGGCGACAATCCCCGTTCCGCGGAACCCGCAGGGCGATTTCTCCGAAAAGGTGATTGATTGGGTGCGCAGGATGGGCGAGACGGACGTCCAGCCCACTCAAAGTGGAGGAGCCAACGAGGCGAATCCTTCATCCGAAGGATTTTCGAAGCCATTTTCGATTTTCGGAAGCAACTTTTGACAGCGCGGGGTGGGCAAGTATACAGTAGGGGGCCGCGCTACTGTTAGGCATCAAAATCTCATCGACCCCATTTGGGTGGACGGCGGCGCCTCTAAGCTGTTTGTAGGCTTCACGGGAACGAAAGAAACACTGACACCAGCTAAGTTGTAATTTTTACACTGAAGTCTCAAATGTTACCAATGATCTCACCGTAAAGTAATGGTTAGCAACAGGCATACACTAAAATTGCTACAGCACCCTCAGCTAGCAGCCAAAATAATGGGAATAGACCTAGCTGAGCACCACGTCCACTCAGCTTCTACTCTTCTAATGTAAAACTAAAGGTGACTTTTGTAAAAAAGAAATGCAATTATGTGTTTGTACTAATAGCCCTAGTGTTCCTACAAAGAAAACCTTTGCTAATCATGGTCTCTGGAAATGAGAAGTACAGTACCCACACTAATTATTCGACAGAAAACGCAAAAACTGACGATCCGCGTTTTTTTCGTTTTTTCTTCATAACTTCCTTCAAATTGCATAAAATACAAATCCGAAGAAAGCATGATGCTCAGCTCGTCAAGATGAATCTTCTGATGTATTGCACTCTCGCACTATTCTGTTTTCAATCTGGTCGATTTTTGTGTGAGGACGGGTATTCGTAGTGGTGTAACTCAGCGAAGAACACACATGGACGAATCAATTAAACATGGGTCAGTAGCGCTGTCCCCGTAAATTATCATGTATTAGTGAGTAGCGAAGGATTCCCTTTCCACAGGGAAAGATAGGCCGTTTAATTTTGAAAAAATCGATGTCTCTCAAATTTTCGTTACCGTAACCCTACAGTAAGACGCTAATTTGCAAAGCAGGTGTGTTTTTCGTAATCAGCAGGTTAGATAACCTCTATGCGCAAGTTTTCCAAGGAATTCAGAACCTTTCATTTTTTCTCGTTCTAAGCTGTGAAGCTCGCCGACCGGTTTTGGCTAAAATATTGATGATCTTGGATTGACCGGAAACTTCGCCCATAGAGGTTTTCGGACTCGCTGATTACAGAAATAGTGCCCTCTGTGCAGCATAAGATAACCTCTATGCGCAAGTTTTCCAAGGAATTCAGAACCTTTCATTTTTTCTCGTTCTAAGCTGTGAAGCTCGCCGACCGGTTTTGGCTAAAATATTGATGATCTTGGATTGACCGGAAACTTCGCCCATAGAGGTTTTCGGACTCGCTGATTACAGAAATAGTGCCCTCTGTGCAGCATAAGTTCTTTTGGCAGAGTTATGCTGAGAGGAATGCTGCGATACTACGCAAGTTCCTAAGTTTGTCTGCCCTTTACGCGTGTCTGTTGGACAACTTACCTGCTCCTTTTTGTAATTTGAAATCAATAGAGGCAGTGCTCTTAGAGCATGCTTAAACTAGGCCTTTACCTATATTGGTCGCCGAACTGTGAGCTGACGAACTCACGTCCGCATGAAAATCGTTCGAAATTTTAAGATCGCACATTTTGGCCAAATATCGCCGCGAATGGTTACGGATGACTCTGATTGCAGATATTATGTTTATATACACATGTTCATTGCTGATTTATGCCGCATACTGCTGCTTACCCCTTGTGCCAACTCTTACACCTGTAACTCAAAGTTTACAAAAAATCGATAAGCCGATATCGACCGATGACGAAATGTAATCTATCAGACCAGTTCGGCTCCTAAGGCTAGGTTCATACTAATTCCCATCTTCCGGAACTGTTCCCGCACAGTCCCGCAATGTTCCCGCACAGTT